CTTTTCCTGCTTTGTTATGACCTGTGTCACCAGGACCAAGTGCCTTTCCTCCCCCTGGCTTTCCCACTTCCACTCCCAAGCTGATGTTTGGGAGACTCTGCAGCAGCTGTGCTGCATTTGCTGTAGGACAGAATTTAAGCCTGCACAGACTGAAGACTAATTATGTCTACAAACCTAATTTGTTTTTGAACTATGATGGGTACAGTACTTTCACTTCTGGTTTGGATTGTCCTCCAAATCCTGAGGCTGATGGAGGTCAAGAGATGTCATATAAAAGTTAGGTTGACACAAGAACCAGTAAGAATAGAGGGTGTAGGTCTCTCAGGATCTCACTGAAACAGAGAAAACCAGAGAAACAGTACAAAAATATCAGTCACAGCATTATAACTTTTTCAGGAAAGTTACTTAGTTCTCAGGACCAAGCTACTTAGTTTTCTAAATAATCACCCAAACAGGAAACCAGATTTATTCCTCACCTGCAGTAAGTCACTGCACTCTTACCATATGTGTCGCATTCCAGGTATGTTCTGTCACCTAAAACAAGTTTGCCTGCAGTCGGTCTTAAAGCTGCTTAGAGATTTGAACTATTTTCTTGTTAAATTCTACAAAGACGATGTCACGTATCGGGGTACTCTGAGAGGGCTGCGTTACGGGGAAACCAAGATGATGGAAAAGGGAGAGAATAATGGGCTTCTGTTCACAGCTTCAGATCTATAGGATGTATCGTAAAATGGAGTTCTGTGCATGCCTTCCACAAGTGTTCTCTGGTGGTCACAAGCAAGCAAGAACGTCAAATATAAGTGGAAATGAAAGCCTTTTATTTCGAAGTCCTCTGGCTGTGCTGTGAGAAGCCATCTTCGAGCGGGGCCTCCCATGGTAATTACAGCCATGCTTTACTGAAAGCACATTTTGTGCACTCCGTGTGGGGAGCGATAGGACTTCTCAAAAGGCAAAGGCTCGAAGAACTCCCATATGTTTCTGATCTAATTTTAAGTCTAGACTTGCTTTATTTAGTTTCTTTTGCTCGGTATTTGCCTAGCTAAAGCTTTTAGGAGTTCTTTTAAAACTGGAAATGGGGGGGGGGTGGGGGGGGTGGTGCTGCTAAGGTTAAAAATAAATGTAAAAACTTTTCCTTTTTTAAAAAGTTTTTGCACGGGGGTAAGAGCTCCCCTCCGTTCAAAACCCCACTGAGCTCTTCAAAGGAGAAGTCTGTGCAGCAACATCAGGGAGTTATTAAATACATACTTAGTCCACAATTTTCATTGGTAAATTCTTTATGTCTGCTTAATGTGTGCTAGTTAGAAGTGATTCTTTTTGCAGACTCGTTTACTCAACCCCGGGGGGACCTATGATCTCCTTCCCCTTTAGCACCAACTTTTACAAACAGTTAAAAAAAAAAAAAAGGCAGCAAAACAAATAACAACAACCCCAAAGACAAGGGAATGAGTAAAACGGCCCGAAAACGCAGCTGAAATGTTGTCGACAAGAGCCGAAGGGGTTTGCCGCAGCAGCGCCGCTTCCCTCGGAGCTCTGTGCGGGCCGGAGCCGCCCCGCGGGCTCCGCTGCCCGGCCGCGATAACCGGGAGAGGGCCGGGCCGCCGTCTGCGCCGCTATCATCCGCGGCCTCAGACTAAACACTGAGCTGGCCTTAGTCACATATTTACTCACTGGGATGGCAGCTAGCGGAGCAGGCCTGCGGGGGAGGCTGTTTGTGCCCGCTTTCCCCGGGCGGGCTGGAGCTCCCCCTGCCGCTCTGCAGCTGAAATGTTCGGCCTGCCGCGGGCCGGCGGCCCCGGGCCGAGCCCCCGCTCGGCTGCCCCAGGGCTGTGCTCGCTGCCGCTGCCCTGCAGTCGGTGGCCGGCTCTGTTATCTCTAGGTGGCCCAGGCTCCTGCACCGCTCCGGGGGCTTCCAGCCACTGCTCCGGGCGTGAAGGAGCCGGGGGGAGACAAGAGACACGGGGCCTGGCCTCGCCTCTTGTTTTTGGGGTTGAGATTCATGTTAGGGAGTGAAAAGCGGTCTGAATGCTACTCCCAGTGTAGAAATGGTCACAGAATGATTTGTCACCTTGACAGGGAAGTCTGGGGCAGGCAACTTCAGGGCTTGTTCTTTCCTTCACTCCCACTCGAGCTCCAGCTTGCTGCTAGCTGATGCTGAGTGCCGGTGGCAGAGGAAGGGGAGGTCTGTTCCCAAGCTGAGCCCAGGGCCTCGGGAGCACGGTCCCTGGGAACCGCAGATACCCCAGGAGACTGCCAGCAGCAGTGGAGGGAGATGCTGCTGCTGCAGCTCTTTCCCCAGCGCTGCCTTTCCCAAACATTGCCCCTCCTCTAGGAGGCTCTGCAGGTGGAGGTCCTGCTGCCCCAGGCTGGTGTGGAGGGTTAAGGAGCTGGGAGTGCACGGCAGGCAGGCAGCAGCCTTGAGGGGCTGCAGCTGAGGAGGGCTCTGCCTGCTCCTCACGGATGTGCTGCCCATGCCCACCAGGTGTTTGTGTCACAGCATCCCAGACACACGTGGGAGCATCCACAGGCAGGTCAGAGCATCCACAGGCAGGTCAGAGCATCCACAGACGGGTCAGAGCATCCACAGACAGGTCAGAGCATCCACAGACAGGTCAGAGCATCCACAGGCAGGTCAGAGCATCCACAGGCAGGTCAGAGCATCCACAGGCAGGTCAGAGCTCCCCACACTGAGCACGCCTGTCTGTAGGGCAGTGCCACAGGGACAAGGATGAGTGGCTCGACAGCAGCTCCTCAGCAGAGCATCCCCTTGGGGAAATCAGCTTCTGAAGTGCTTGGTGCTCTGCATTGGGAAAGAGCTAATGGGGAGTTCTTCCCTTCGGGTCTGTACTGGGCTTGAGGGGAAATTCCAAGTAGTGGTCAGGGTGCAGTAACAGCCCTGGTTCAAGGGGGAAACGGGGCTTGGGCCTGACTGTGGTTCAGGTTTGGTTTGACTGATTATATCCAGGAAATCCTCCCACTGTGCTCTCCCTTTTCTGATCCTGCTGTGTTAAATGGCAATTTGGCTAAATTGCATTATTTGAATCTAGTGGGCTGCATTTAACCTGGTATTAAAATGCATGTTTGGGCTTTTAAATTTGATATGAAGACAGCTGTATGCATTTTCCCTTGTTTGTCAATTGCATACATATGATACGATGTTTTCAGTGAGCGCTAAACAATGCAATGTGAGGCATTTCAACAAAGGAATAATTTAATGCAACCCAGCAGAAATGCAGAGCCTTAGAAGTGGTTCTTTATGAAACTACAAATTTTGGAAATGGGTCCAGAAGACCTACACTGGAGCAACACAAGAAACAATAGTTAACACAGTAACATTTTTCCTGTAAGAAAAATACACCATGAAGAAATTATATTTTGCCTTTTTTTTTTTTAGTTTGTTGATTTACTTGAATGCTTTAGTTGGCATATTTTGTATTTGTTGCATGGTAGGGATTAAAATTCTCATTTCTTCACCAAAAGAGAATATTGTCGCACAAGATGCACTTTGAGCCAAACGAGATTTTTTTTTGTCAAGTGTAAATTTGTCTCACATATTTTGTTCCAGTTCAAAGAAAATTAACACATTGTTACATTCTTTTCATCTTCAGTTTAGCCTTAGCAGAATGAGACACGTTTCCTTCCTAATCTTCTTCAGAGCCACAATTGTCCCTACTTGCACAGGTGGAGGATGGGTTAGGAAGGGCTGCACATTTGTTGGGGCAAATTATTAATTTTTTATTATTATTATTATTATTTAAAAAATACTAATGAGCTCTGTTGGAGCTGATGGGAAGCAGCCTCAGCTCCCACCGGGTGCAGCCATGGGCTCTCCTGTGATCTGGGCTGGGTTAAGGAATAGAGAGAGAGTACCTGGTACTTCCTGCTAAAGAAAGGGAGCACAACCACATGGATTGGGATAAATGCAGCAACAGAGCACTGCTGGAGGTGCTGGACAGCTGGTGAGGGAGCAGGCTGGCTGGCAGGAGCAGTCTCTCAGGCTGTTTGTCCAGCACACAGCAGTGCCAGGCAGGGCTGTGCGAGCTGCTGTGGACAAGTGTCAGCTCAGACTCTGCACGGGCAGAGGTGGAATGGAGCATCAACAAAATACTCTTTGTAACTAAGCTGATGGAATTACCTCCACACAGCCCTGAGTGGACCTTCCTGCACACAAAAGGTAAAGTGTTACATAGCTACCAGAGGGACTCTGTCTACAGCTCCAGCAGAGCTGGGTGTTATCCTTGGTGAAGGGAGGGAGGGAGGGGTAGGTGCCAGCCTGGACTGCAGGTAGGATGTGCTTGGAGATCACACTGCTGCTAACTCTTGCTCTGGGATCTCTTCTCAGAGGATGACACAGTCCAAATTAAAATGCAGGGGTTGCAGTACACAGGAAAATTGAATGAAGGCACCTAAGTCTTCCCAAAAAAATATGTGACTCCAAAGCACTTGCTGAAGTTGATAGAAAAATGCATTTGTGGTAAATTAATTAATCCAGCAGCCCTGGCCACGACTGGCATTTTCAAAACTGGCCATTGATATAAAGCCTCAACGTGCCTCAGATTCAGGCACATTGATAGGGCTGCAGTTTGCCCAGGTGTGCAAGAAGCTGCAGATTTTCCTGCTCCTGTAAAGCAGACCTGAAGTTGCTGCAGGCTGCTTTCCCCAGTCCTGTGCCTGAAGGTGTGCTCTGTGACTGTCCAGGCTGGAAGTGACCCCTAAAACCAGGGCATAACGACCCTGCCCTGCTGGTGTGCGTGGCTCCAGAAGGCAGCGGAGTGTGCAGAGCCCCCAGGCTGTGCCCAGTGATGGTGAGAGGGTAAAGCATGGCAGAAACGGCAAACCCATCTCCTCCTTCCTCCCTGTGGACGCTCAGGGGTGTCTTGCTTCAGTGTGTGGCAGCAGGATTGTTGTGTGTACCAGCATGTGCATGTCCATGTCACTGCAGGCAGAGGTGTGGGCTTGTGCTCAGTGTTTGTGCTCATTGTTTCTTCTCTCTCTCTCTCCAGTCGAAGACCGCCCCCTTCACCTACTCGGCCCACTGTAATCCGCCCGTTAGACTCCTCCCTGTTAAACTAAAAGGAGTTTCTGGCATGTCACTCGTTGTTAACCAAATATGTGGAAACAAATTGCTTGGTAACTGTCACAATAACCAGTGTATAGTCGCATGTATGGACATCTCTAGGCAAGTAACCAACTATACTGATACTCTCTGTCCATTCTGCATTGTTTATGAGGTCTTCAATGTTTGGGGAAGGTCTGTGCTGCCTTGACTTTTCCTTCTGCAATAACTGATGTTAGCTAACTTACTGACACATGTCTCCACCCAGACAACTGTGCTCACAGTCCTCTACAGCAGCTGGAGGGCTTGACTCTGTGTATCTTTGTGCATGTGTTGATTTGATCTGCTGCTTTTTTTCCCCTCTTACCTGAAAGGAATCTTGCTTTTATTTGTACCTTGCAGGTTTTCTATTTTCTCTTGTAATGGCTAAACCAGGCAAAGAAAAGCCATGTGGTTTCTTACCAAGCTCTTCTGAAGGCCCCACACTTCCAGGTCTCTCTTGCAAGAGGCTTGCTTCTCCTATAAATTCTCCTTATCCAAAATGTAGTTCTAAGGAATGTTGTTAAACGAGCAGGGTGTGGGTAGGACAAGGCATGTTTTGCTTTATTCCCATGCTGGCAGCTGCAATGCCAGGTTGGTTGGGTTGGTGAGAAACAGCCTGGGGTGCCCCAGCTCACAGGGCTCAGCATGGAGCTGTCCCCCTGCAGCCAGGAGGGGACAGGGTGGTTTGGAGGGCTGGGGTGTGACACAGCAGTGTGTGCCAGCTCCCTCTGTCCCTGCTCACTCTCCTGCTCCCACTGCCCTCCTGGGAAGTGCTGGAGGGGAGTGAGTGCATGGAAATGGGCTGTGTGCAGGGTCCAGGGAACTGAGCCCTGCTTTTGGTCCCTTTGTGACCCAGAAGGACACAGACAGGTGCACAGCAGGGCGTGGGGCCCCCTCCTGTGCCCACCATGGGAGCTCCAGCCTGGACTGGCAGCTGAGCTTCCCAAGGGCCAGGTTTGGGTGTGACATATTTGGGAAATTTTCACATGCCAGTCAATAAAGTTTCCCTGTGTCCCCTGTGTAAAGATTTTCTTTTTGCATTACATGCTCCTTGCACACACCTTGATTTACTGTTGCTTTATCCAGCTAAATTCTGGCAAGTGCTCAGCTGTGCATCCTGGATTATTTTAGAAGCTGCTCACTTGCAGAGATGCTCTGACTCTTGTTTTGCACGTTATAAATTAATGCATTATAAAAACCTCTTGTCTTAACTGCATTACTTCACTTTAAACACTTAGTGTCACCCTTAAAGCTTAGAACTTAGTGAGTTAACAGAATGAAACTAGAGAGGAATTTGGCCTTGTTCCTTCAGAAAATATGAATTGCTGCTATTAAAATTATGGTTACAGATCCCTTGGCAAAGCAATTGGTGGTTTCAAAGGCCCCCAGTACAATCAGTCTAATAAATGTATTTATTGAGACTGCTTGTAGGGCTCCAGTATGCTGTAGCCCCATGGTTAGGAAGAGTCCAATCAAAGAGCCACAACAAATGGGGATTTAGCCTGTTAATTCCCAGGCTGCTGATTAGCTGTGCTCACCAGTGCAGCAAATCATGTTTCAGCCTGCAGAAGAGAGACGAGCTTGGGAAAGCATCATGATTTGTATGTTAGCTTAACTTTAATTTCCTGTCAACCCCATCCCTGTGACACACGCCTGGGGAGTCTGGAGGTCACATGTGATGCATGGTGAAGATGGAGATTGTCAGAGCCCTGGATCCTGGTGATCTCAGCAGACTGCTGGTGTTTGTTTGGGGAACAGGTCCACATCTCCAGTGCCAAGTGCACAGAATCAGCTTTCAAGGAAAAGTTTGAAAACACAACCACAGTCATACTAGTTTTTACTACAAAAAAGAAAACATATTTTGATGATTCTTCTTGTCTTCTACACAGCTTTCCACTGCTTGGTGCTCTCTGCTGTAACCTGTGCTGCATCTGTTGGATTTAATTTTGTAAATAGCCACAGTAGCCCATATTGTTGCCTTGCCAGCACTCCTGCATATCCAAACAGTTTATCAGAACTCTGTTACTGACTGGCAGCTGCCTGCTGAGGGGAAGCCAGGTTTAATGCCTGAGCCACAGAGATCACTGATATCACTTCTGATATCAGAATATCAAATTATCATACTCACTTGGTGATAGAAGACCAGGATGGACGGGTCTTTCACCTTCTAGTGGAAGGTGTCCTGCTCATGGCAGAGGGCTTGGAACAAGATGAGCTCCATGGTCCCCTCCAACCCAACCCACTCTAGGATAGTACAAGGCCACGGTCTGGGTTTATCCCACCACAGCCCAAGGACTCAGCTCACTTGTCCTTTGTCCAGTGGGAAGAGCATGACCCCCAGGAGGTGATTCAGGCCTGAGTGGCTGCAAGGGACACGAGGGCAATGCTGGTGAATCAGGAGCCTTAATTACACAGCACAGCTCCTGGCCTAGAAACGTGCTTTTAAATGCTCTCTACGTGAGACTCCCTAGTTTAATGACTGTTTGTGCCAAGCACAAGGAAATAGGTGGCACAACTGAGCACTGTCCTTTACTCTGCCCCCAAGAAACTTATTTCTCAGCAGTAATCCTGAGTTGTAAATAAAGCTCTCAAGGGTGGATTTACCTGAAAGAGGAGGAGGAGGCAGTGAGGCGTCAGTACATCTGGTCCTGTGCTTGATGCTGAGGGTGCAGGACACAGCTGCACAGCCCTCCTTCCTCTGCATCCTCATTCAGATCTCATCTAAATCTGGCCCTGTGCCCTAAAAGCAACACTTTTGGGTGTGCAGGTTAATAAAAACACATGAGCATGAATCCAGGGTTTGCTCATTTCACCTCTTCTTGCGTATGTGCTTGTGAGAATAAACCACGTAAACTTGTTTCTAGGAAAAACACTTGAATGCTTCCCAAGAAATTGCCACATCCAGTTGAGTAAGTGCTGTCCTCCGGCCTGGGCCCACTTCCTTCTGCTGTAGAGTGCCTGGAATGGGTTTGTTTGTCCCACTTAACTCCTGATGTTGGCAGGTCCCATCCATCCTGTCCCTTGTTCTTAGAGGAGCAGCCTTGGCAGCAACTCACTCCATGCCAAATGGAAAGCAGGACGAGCACCCTGTGGGTCTGCCAGAGGGACTGAGCACCTCTGCAGAGCCACATCTGAACTGTGTCTGAGAAGCACAGGTTGCTCTGCCCTTCTCTGCTTCCCTCTGGCACAGCTCTGGTTGCCAGGGCATAGTGGAGCAATAATGAAGCACCACCAGAGTTTCTGATCTTACATGAGGTGCACAAAGATCTGGGTGGTGTAGTTGCTGAGATTCCAGAGGGTGCTCGTCTAATTCTGCATTTAGGCTGAGCCTGGATCTCTGCCCAGAGAACATTTCCACCTCACCCCGCTGTGGCTGACCAACAGCTGAAGAGCTTGTGCGTGCCCTGACCAGCTCTCGGCCTGGCATCTCAAGGGATCTTGTGCTAGGGTTAAAAAGATTGTATGCTCAACAAAAAGGCTTATGTACATAGTTAATGTGTGTTTATTTTATTGCTGATCTTGTTGCACTTTCTGAGCAAGCCTCCTAAAAGTAGATTATTTATTATATTAAAGAAGATACATTATAGGTCATGGCATTTCGTGTTCAAGTATAACATAGAAAATACTATCCTCTCTGTTCCAGACAGCTCCACTAACCATGATGTGTACAGCATATTGAGATTACTGACTAGTTCTGTCCTTCTGTCTTAAAATAGTCCAACCCTCCTGAACTGAGAGCAGACCTGCTTGTGTCCCTGTGCCACCAGGGAGCCTCCCGGCGCCCTCCTGGCACAGCTCCCCCTGCTGTGGCACTGCCCCTGCTCCCAGGCTGTGCAGAACAGCTCCCGTGTGTAATGAATGTTACTCTGCCTGTCTTTCCTCTTGCTTTGTCTGCAGGCGAGCTGATGCCGACGGCTCCTCCCGTCCGGACAGCCCTCCACTCTTGCTTGATCTATGATTTGTCCCGCCTTGCCGGCCGTTTGCTTTACTGCTGTCTCTTTACTTTTCCAGGACGGTCTAAACCATGACTTCTTTTTTGTAAGAAGCAAACGCTTAATTTCTTTCTGATTTTTTTTTTTTTTGCTCTGTATGTTAATGCCCTACTTCATGTGAGCCAAAACATCTGCCTTTGGTTTCGTAATCTGTAAATGGTTCCTGGTGTTGACCTTTGAGCACAGCGAGTGGATTCCCGAAACTGTGGTCATCACTGAGCATCACATACACCTGCTGTAAAAATGTTATGCTGCATTTCTGAACCTGAAATAAACTGTCATTCTTGATGGGCTTTTATTATTACTCTCTGGATGTGTGTGAGTGGTGTCTTCTGTCTCTTGCACCATCATCTCAGCATTCCACACTGCCTCGGTGGGGACTGCAGGGAGGATTTATTGGAGGTGCTGCTGTGCTGAGATCACTGGAGATGTCATTAAAGGGGAGGTGGAACCCGTTGGGAAGCATTCAGCCTGCTCCCCTGCAAGGGGCTTGGAGTGCTGCAGAGATATTTTGCTGGGAAATGGATGAATGTTTTACAAGCAGTACCTGGGGTTCACTTCATTGCTGGGGAAAGCACGTTCAGAGGAGTTTCAGAGCTGAGCAGAAGGCCAGACTCAGTCCTCCAAAGCAGGAGCTGGAGTTAAAATATGCCTGAAAGGGATTTCCCCCTAAAGATTGTGTACAAATGTGCAGATGTCCTGATTACTCAGTTCCTCCTGCAGATCAGGATGAGCCAAGTAGCTGCAATCAGTGCTTGGAGATGGTCTGCAGGGCACAAAGAGCACAGCAGCTTCCTGTGGGAGCCCCACAGTGGCTAAGTGGGTCCTTAGGTTCTGGGAAAAGAGGGAGCAAAGGTGGGATGAGCACAGCAGGAACATCCCTGCTGTATCCTGTAACATTTGGAGATTTCTTTATTGGTCTTTAAGGCCGTGGCTGAGGCAGTTTGTGCACTCCCCCTGAGGGGACAGCAGTGTCCCACGTGTCCCCTCTGAGTGGAGCCCGTCAGGTCCCCCTGGATGAGCCTGGTGCCAGGAATGTTGGTCAGGGGGAGCTCAGTGCTGGGTACCAGCAGGAGCAGCTGCTCTGTGCACGGGGCCCTCACTGCCTGGGGCTCTCCAGCTTCGTTCTGTCCTTTCCCAGCCATGTCCCCTCCTGACACCCCAGTCCAGCCCACGGGCCATCCTGTTTGATCATTCCTCATTTCATCACAGCCTCACAGAAGTTCTGCTCAAGAACAGTGTTTGAAGCTGATAGTGGTGAGAATTTGAAGGCTGCCTGGGGAAAAGCTCCTGCAGAGGGTATAATTTGCTGCAAGAAAATTAGAAAGCCTGTGACCAGTGACCTCCACACCTGGGCTGGGATTGTTCTGGTTCTCTGGCACTGGCAAGTCAGAAGGGAGGCGGTGAGGATGAAAGCCAGGCTGTGCTGAGAGCCAGCTGATTCTAATCTTGCTCTTGCTCTTTTCCTTAATATGCATGTTCTGTGCCTTTTGCTCTTAACCCATTTTATTAAGATAATTTTGTATATGAGTCATTTTATTGTATCTTGGCCTTTTGTTTTAAATCTCCCCCTCTCTCTGTGATTTTTGGGTTATTTTTTGGTTTTTTCCTAGGCGACCTCCACCAGCTGTTCCAGGAAGATCATCCTAACACACACATTTCTTTTGTGTTACATGCAATGTCTTTTTTTTTTTAATCCAGAATTACCTTTAATTTGCACTAGCCTATTTGTAAATTAAAGATTTTATTTTCAGATGTCAATGGTAAGCCTGGATGTAAAAAATAAAATTCTGACTACAAAAGGAGTGTGTTTTCTATTGAAGGGTCTACTCACTCTTTCTCACATGGGGACATTCTTACCCTGTGGGAGAAATTACCTGGGCTCTGTGGAGGCTCCCACCCTCCAAGGTTGTGGAGGGAGGGATGGACATTCTGCTGGAGTTCCAGCACTTGGAATGCATCCAGCACCAGGATTGCTCCATATCAATGGCTGTGGCTTAGCACTAGCAGGAAGAACAGCCAGCAGAGTTCCCAAACATGTCCAGTGCACCAGCAGCAGCACCTGGCTGAGCGGAAACTCGAAGGAGAAGATTGCAGCAGTCTCTAGACAGTCTCTAGACTGATTAATCTGCACAATTATAAATAAATTGCAGCTGTTCTGACCATTTTCTTCAAGCAAATCCTCTGAATTCCTTGCAAGCCGACCCCAGTGGAGCATCTGAGCTCAAGCAGCTGTAGGGAGCTACCTCTGGGATTCCAAATGTGTCTATCCCTGTGGGAAAGAGAAAATCTGGGATTTAGATGATGTGCTTGTTTTGGGTGCCAAAGAAGTCTATGAAGGATCAGTCTGAAAAGGGGAAACTGATGGGTTTAACTGGCTGGTGTTCCTCACAGGACAGCCAAGGGGGTATCCCAAACCACGCAGTAAGCCAGGAGGCACCGTGGGCACTGACTCCAGCTTGGTGTCCAAAGCTCCTGGGCAGTAGGGAGGTAGTGGTGAGAGGGAGCTGCAGGAGGGGATGGGATCACCTTGTGTGTGCAGAAGGGGCCAGGTGACAGCCAGCCTGAGCTTGTTTTCCAGCCTGGTCTGACACAGCTTTGCTGAATTTGGGCAGTTCCACTTGTTGCAGCTGATTTAGGTCCTCTAAAATATCCAGGGAGCTGCTGAACCACCTGCATGAGCTGGTAAATACCAGACACTGAGTTTGCTCAAAATAGAAGGGGATGTAAACCCAGAAAGCTGTAGACATTTTTCCTTCTTCTCACTTAAACTTGGTCTTTTGGTAGAGTAGAAGAGAGAAACTGCAACGGTGTGGTAAAAAGTGGGGGAAAACCCCAAACCCTGCTCAGCACCTTTGAACTGCATGTGCTAAACTGGGAATTGCTGAGAGTGGGCCAGGTGCTAAACTGGGAATTGCTGAGACTGGGCCAGGTGCTTCCCAGCACCCTGAGACAGGGAGCAAGGGAAAGCTACAGTTGCAGGAAAACAACTGGAAAACAACTGGATCTACAGTTCCAGGAGAACAACTGTCCCAAGAGTGGAGTAGCTGAGGGTGGCTGCAGCTTCCACCTGTGGAACTCAGCAGGTGCTGAGGCAGAAACCCCTGAGCAGAGTTCAGGAATTGTGCACCTTCAGGACTACTGCAGAAGCAGCAGTGTTTGTACCTGCTGAGCTCCTGAGGAGGTTCTGCCCATGCCTCAGGTAAAAGGGAAGGGGGATAGACTGAACTTTACAAGCTGCTTTTCTTCCAGGCTGTTCAAAAATCTGTTCTGCACTGGGGGCAGCTCTCCCTGCAATCCCTCTGAGCTACAGCACGGTACCAGCAGCAGATAAAAGGTGGATGATATTTTAGCTCATGGCCCGGCCACAGCACCCAGCCAGGAGCTGCCAGCTGCCTGATGGCTTCCACACACTAGGCTGGAAGGCACAAACTGGTTTCTTGGGGCATTTTCTGGTGGTAAATCCTCCACACAAATCTTTACCTTCTTATTAAATACTTGGTAAAAAATATTGTTGAAAATAGGACTCCAGATTCCATGGGTTTGTGGCAGGCATTTCTAATATCTCTTCAGCAGACAGGCACAGGAGCTGATGTGCTGGGAAACCCTGGCACATTCTTCAGCATCAGCTCACAGGGTGGCTTTCTGAAGAAGCTGTTTCACCTCGTCTGTGCTGTCTGCAGCCTGCCCTGGTGGTGTGGCCAGGGGCAGGACAAGGGTGCTGCTGCACCAGTGACATTTCAAGGCAGTGGGTGGGTTAGGACCAAAATCCTGTTTTGGTTTCCTGATCAAAGAGCCAAGCTTTGTTCTTCACAGGCTCCCCAGATCCAGGCCCCCACGTGGGGAGGGACGTGGCCCCCTGAGAGCACGGTGTGGGTGGCTGACACTGGCCTTTCCCTGCAGCAAAGCTGGAGATGGAGATTCCAGCTGCCACGTGTCAGCAGCTCCCCCAGGAGCAAGGCTGATCCCCAGCCACTTCACAGCTACTCACATTTGGCCAGCTTCAAATCAAAAGAAAAAGTCCCATGGAAGGACTGATCTCAGTGGACTGAACCTTAAGGGAAAGAAACTTGGAATGCAAAAGAACATTTAACCCCTTAGGGTTGGTTGAAGTGTTTGTTGCATCAACAGCCAAGGACCCATTTCTTGGGTCTCAGTGGGGGTTGTTCAGGGAGCAAATACCCAAAGGGCACCCAGCTTTACTGGCTAAGTGTAGAGTTATGGCCAAATCCTGCTCTGTAGAGGATATTCTGACCTCAGGCATGCAGACATACCAATAATGGCCGTTTATACAGCAGCTTAAATAGCAGCAGCACTGCAGAGCAGTGTCCTCAGGAGAAGGTCAGGGAAGTCCCAGGGAAACCCAGCCTGCCCTTTGTGTCTCCTCTCTCCTCTCCCTGGCTCTCTTCTGCATTCCTCCTTCCTTCAGGTCCCTTTGTGCATCCAGGCTGTGGATTTGGTTTTCATTTCCCAGGTTAGAGTGGGCAGGGTGTCTCTGTGGGCAGCTGAGGGGAGCTGAGCTTTCCCCAGGGGTCTCCAGGCAAGGACTGAGGCTGTTGTGATCTAATCCTAGAATTGTGTGGCTCGTTCTAAGGAGATGAAGGATGGGGCAGAGCAGAGAGGGCTGTGAGCAGCGGGCAGGGCTGGGTGGGACACAGGCTGCATCCCCTGGAGCTGGGCCATGGAGCTGCTGTGAGTCCCCAGATCTGCACAGGTCCCTGCTCGGGCTGAGGGCAAGGCGGCAGCCTGCGCCCATCTCCACCACCTGAAATGTTTGAGTGGTCAGTGCTTGCAGTTTTCCCAACCCATGGCTGCTTTTGACAGTGTGACTTTGGGAAAGGTATTTCTGTGGGGAAGTATTTCCCCCTGGAGGAGTGGGTGCAACAAAAACTCTGCTTTCCTGCAGCCTCTGCTGTGATAGCCAAGGGCCAAGCAGACGAGATTTGGTTTATTTTTGATTTACATTCCAGCCTTGCCCCTCTACCAACAGGCTCTGTGAATCTGTTTGGGATGGCAGCGTTACACTGGCATTAGTCCAGGGTCAGATGGGACACTGGGGTCACCGAGCAGCTTTCTGGGAAACCCTCCTGTGAAAAGAGAGTCTCCTTTCTGCAGAGCTAAAAAATGTCATCTTGACTCTGAGCATCTGGCTATGCTGTGCTCCCTGCGAGACCTGAGCACGGGCTCCAGACTTCTGCAGGTTTTAATTAAAAGCAAAATGAGATGTAGTTGTTGCCACGACGACAGCAGCAACATTTTACACTTGGCAGGAGCAGTAACAAAGCACTGGAGGTGTTGGGGACTCCGCCGGGGGTTGCTCATTTCCGAGAAAGCCCAAGGAGCGCGTGAAAAGCTGCCGGGATGGGAAAACGGAGCAGAACGCTGCACTCGTGCAGCTTTTCCCGAAGAGAAATTCCATAAACACCGGGGCGGTGCCGAATGCAGCCCTGGGAGATGGGGCTGGGGCAGGTGTGGGCATCCCTTCGCTCCGTGGTGCCCCTCCGGGGGGCTCCGCTCGCCGGAGCAGGGCTGGGCTCACCGAGGGACGGGGACAGGGACAGGGACAGGGCAGGTCCCGGCACCGGGGCTGCGGTCCCGCCAGGCCTCCAGCGGGACTCGTTTGCCGGGAGCGCCCTCTGTTGTGGTGGGAGCGCTGCCGGACAGGCGGACACCGGACAGACGGACACCGGACAGGCGGGCTCGGCCTCACGGCTCACGGGCCCTGGCATCCCCCACGGGGGCTGTGCCGAGCTCCATCCCTCTGCCGCGGGGTCTGGCCCTGCAGCAAGGCCAGGCCTGCCTCTGCGAGGGGGCTGGAGATGAGAGGAAGGCGTGATGCGCTCCCAGCCCCGTCTCCTAAGGGATTGAGGTGGTGGTGTCTGGCGGTGGTGGGAGGCTATTCTGGCACCCCAAGGGCACGGTGCAGGTGAGGAGGCTCTGCTTGTGCTCGGCCCTGAGCTCCACCAGCGCCCCTGCCCCAGCGAGCTGGCCGGGCCCTGCCCTCCAGCCCTCCCCGGGCAGTGCCCAGCACCCCCTGAGGGTCCGGGGCTGACGCTCCGTGGGACACATCCCCTGCTCCCGGGTCTGGGGCTGCACGGCCAGAGCCGAACCCTCCCCGCCTGCACCCTGCAGGGCTCAGCTCCTTCCTTCACCACACCCTCGCAAGTCCGGGCTGGAAGCAGATCCTGGGGGAACACAAGAGTGGTCCTTGTTGCCGTGTGAGAGACTTTATTGGCTCAGGTGTCCTCTGTCCCCAGCCAGGACCTTTCACTGCTCACAGCAGAGTCCCCCTGGGCCAGGCCTACATGAGGAACCTGGAGAGGTCCTCCTTGATTTCAGCCTCGTCCCACGGGCCGTGGATGTTGTCCTTGAGCAGCTGGAGGCGGATGAGGCAGTAGGGGCAGAGGCAGGAGATGGCGAGCAGCAGCGAGGCGAAGAGCACGGCGCCCACGCTGGACACCGTGGCCAGCCCCGCCAGCGCGGCCAGCGCAAAGAGCACCGTCACCGCCACGTAGCAGCGCGGCGTGCGCGCCTTCAGCTTCTTCTGCAGCATGGGCCACAGGGCGAAGATCTGCATGGCGAAGGTCACCATGACGAAGGCGTGCAGGGAGCGGGGCAGGCGCGAGGCCAGGCACACCGAGGCGAAGATGGCCATGTTGAGGGACAGCGTGCTGGACACAATGGCGGCGTTGGCGCCGTAGTCGAAGAAGATGAGGTGCCCCAGGAGCATGAGGGCCGACATGGCGTAGATGGTGTCCGTGCTGATGGACTCGGTCAGCGTCTTCAGCACCGGCGAGAAGCCGTAGGTGAAGGCGGCGAACACCAGCGTGCTCTTGAGGTCAGCCCAGCGCGTCCGCCCGCTCGCCCAGCGCCCGGCCCCGCCGTCCACGGCGTCGAACAGCACGTAGCCGAGCAGGGAGGACACCAGCGCCGCTCCGAAAAGGCCCTGCGGGCTCAGCACCCCGGCGTCCATGTACCACCAGGTGAGCACGAAGACGCAGACGCTGCACAGCTGCTGCACCACCGCTCCCGACTGGAACACCACGGCCTGGTACCGGTACTGCCGGGCGTGCACGTTCTTCCGCAGCTCCTCCAGGAACCGCTGGTCCACGTAGTTATCGGGGAAAGGCTGGCGCTCGTACAGCACCTTCTGCCACCGCCGCACGGGCACCGGCTCCATGGCCCGGCACGGGGGGCTCCGCGGCCCCGCCGCCGCCGCCGCCGGAGGTGGCGCAAGGGACGCCGGGGAGCTCGCGGCCGCCACCTCCCGGCCGGAGCGCCGGGACAGGGCCGGAACCGGGACAGGGCCGGAACCGGGACAAGGCCGGAACCGGGACACGGGCCGGAACCGCGGGCGAAACCGGGAGCCGGGGCCGGGTCGCAGGGCCGGGCACCGCCACGCCTCAGAGGGGTCACTCCGCCCCGGGCTGCGCTCCCCGCTCCGTGTGGGCTTCAGCAGCTTCTGGGGGAAGGTTCAGGGCACACCGCAGCTCCGTGCTGGGGTCTGCTCGTCCCCAGAGCCGCAGGTCCTTGTGCCGCTCGCAGCTGCTGCCGGAGCGTGCCGGGGCTGTCTCGCCTCTGCCGCCCCGCAGCCGCCGGGGATGCTCCTGCCCTGGTCCCAGCCCGTGCCAAGCGCTGCCTCCCTGCAGCCGCCCATGGGATTTAGCCAGGGCCTCTCTGTGCTTGGACAGCCAGGTGCGTGCCCGGCCCGGCTGCTGGGAGCGTGACCCCAGCCCATGCTGCAAGCCCCGCTCCCTGTCCTGCTTTTCTGGCCGAACCAGGCTCCAGCAGCCAGCTCGGGAATGTGGGTGTGATGCTACAGGGCGCCCTTGCCCTGCAGCCTGCTCACAGCTCAGGCCTGAGCAGCAGGAGGAGAGCAGGGCTGGAGGGGGGCAGCTCTGCAGGGACATCCATCTTCTGTGCTGCCCATCTCCACACCAAAGGGACTCAGCAAGGGGACAGGGGCATATTAAGGGAGGTTTCACAGAGGCCAGAGGTGTTTTCCCTAGGTCTGTGTTTGCTTGTGCTCAGGTCAGAGCCTTCCCAGCCCCGGAGAGGTGCTTGCTGCTGAGGAGCTGTGTAATTTGGCCTCACCCGGGGCAAAGCAGCCCGAACAGTGCCCTGTTTGTGCTGGGGGAAGGGGCCTCCATGGCCCTGCTCTCCCAGTAGCAACAGGCAAAGAGCTGTGGGTTGTTTTCACCCAGAGCCTGCCACAGGAGACTCCCCACACAGATCCCACCTCATCAGATCCGTGCAGAGCAGCAGGTAACGCCCACACTGCTGCTGTGCCTTTGGGGGCCTCAGGGTGAGCCACACCACAGTGACACCTCACAAGTGCCACCTCCCAGCCGCGTGTCACTGCACTTGCTCGGCAGGGCAGAAGCAGCTGCTCACCCTGTGCAGGTACCCCATGCCAGGATGGAGCTGGACTCAGCTTCAGCTGCCCTCCCTAAAAGCCCCCAGCCCCACGCTTTGCACAGAGCCGTGCAGTGCCTCCATGTGCACAAGGCAGTGCCCACAGGGACAGGGAGCACTGCCAGCTCCTGTGATTGCTGGCACGGCCTTGGTGCCCAGGGCCTGGGAACTTGAGATTTTGAACAAAATGTCCTTCTCCCAAAGTCATGGAGTAAAGCTGGGCATGCAAGAGGAAAGCTGGGAGGGCAGAGAGCCATTCCTGCTGCTCTGAAAAGTGCCGTGACCACCACAGAAGAGGAATGCCACCTCCCGTGGGCATGGGCAGGGCAATGCTGTGCTCTCGCTGTGGGTGGTGGCAGCAGGTTTGCTGTAACCTGGCCCTGGGCTCTCTGCTCATCTGTGATGAGAAGGGCAGGCTGGGCTGGAGCATGAGGCTGCTTCCATGTGGCCAGTTCCACGTAGCAACACCAGTGGAGAGAACAGAGGTGATGGGTACTTTGTGTGCTCTTCAAATCTCTGCTGTGGGCCAGCAAAGTGCCTTTGGAGGCCAGAGAGTGGGAGGCTGGGGCTGGTCACTCACTCACAGCTCCTGAGCCACGCTGGGTGATGCCAGCAAAGCCAAACCCCTCGGGGAGATCCAGCACAGCAGCTGGAGCCCCCCACGGGTGCCCCCCCAGACAAGGGGATCTCTCTGGCGTTGGCTCTGCACCCCTGGCAGTGCCAGCCCAGGGCCGAGACCCACAGGGCCTGGCACCCACCCACCCCCAGCAGGGTCTGGGACGAAGCAGCTGCCACTGCTGTGCTGGCGCTGTGTCCCTGGAGGGGACAGCGTGTGACTGCCACGTGTGATGGCACCGCCCACGGTGCAAAGGGCAGCTCAGCCCTGCCGGGGTGGCCCAGACTTTGCCGCAGGGCAGTGACTCTCCGGGGCAGTGACTGTGACTGTCCTGCCTGCACAGCTGTGCCCCGCCACGGGACCCGCCACGTCACTGTCACCAGCCAGCCCTGCTGCTCAGAGGGGACCTTGTGCCATGGAGTCAGCCCTCAGCCCTCCTGGGAGCTCTCCTGGCAGGGATAAGCAAGAGCTAAGGTCAAGAATACAAAAGTCCTTTTTGTGAGCATCTAAATTCCTGCCCTGGGTTCTTGCTGACCTCCCTCACCTCACAGTTTGGTGTCCCCAAGTGCCACTGGCCTCGGGAGAGGCTGTGGGGTGCCGAGTGCTCTGAGCCCCTCTGCTGAAATGCAGGGCTGAGGAGCGGGGTGCCATGGCCCTACAAACTCTGTGCATGCTGGGGCTTGCTCTGCCCTGCCTCTGCCAAGGGACCCCACTGCAGATTTGTTTAGAGTCTGCCTCCTCTCAATGTTGGAATGCACTGCTGAAGTTGTTTGGAGGGAAGGATGGAAAAGGTGACAGGCTGGGACTGAAATAGCTGGGATTGATCTGGACCTCCACTGGAGACACTTGAATATCAAAGTATGGCAGGCACTGCTCCCCACCCCTGGCTCAGGCTGCCTCCAGGTGTGTCTGATGCCCTCAGAACGGGACCAACGCTTGTGCTGCAGGAACAGCTTGAGCAGCACACTCTGCTAGGGGCCTGAGCTGGCCTGAGGCTGCAGGATGAGGATGGATCCCTGTCCCTCAGACAGAGCTCTTCCCTGCATCCCCGAGTGTCACCCCAAAGGAATGACACGGCACAGCTATGGATCCCTGGGCCTCATTTCTCTGCCAAGCCATCCCCCAGCCTTCCCCTCTGACCCTGGAGCCAAACCCTCCCTCCACAGGAATGTGTTTCAGGAGGGGGAGGTTGGCACAGCTCCAGCTGCTGCGTTTTTCCATGTGCAGAGATCGTCTCCTGCCTTAACAGGCCCCATGACACGGGCAGTGCCTGCACTCCTGCAGTCAATGTAAGGATTGTTTGGATTCAGTCCCCAGCACAGACTGGACGACAGCAGCCCAGAGCCTTGGAGCTGGGCTGAGCCCCTGGGGGGTACAGGGCACACAGGGCTGGGAGCCCTGCAGGGCCTGCCCTCGGTGCTGCTCCAGCTCCCCCAGGCTCTCCCTCTCCTGTGTGCAGGTCAGATCTCCTGAGCTGAGATGGAGGCACCAAGGCTGCTGGAGAAACCCTGCTCAGAGCTGGCAGAGCAGTCCAGGAAAATGGGATTGGGTCTGAGAAGCCCACACTGGACTGGCATCTGCCAGGGCAAGGTTTGGGGTTTGCTGAGCCTCTTGCAGGGGGAGAAAGATGGGAAGGCTGAGGATCTGGCTGAGGATCTGGGGCAGGAGAGATGAGATGTGGAAAGACACGTGCCTGCAAGGGTGTGACCTCTGGAACACATGGCACATGGGGGCTGTGAAACTGAGCTGCCTCGCTGCTGGCATTCCCTGACGGTCAGCATGGATCCCTGTGGCCAAACAGCCCCCCCAGCACCACTCTGGGCTCTGGAAAGAGGGACTAGCCAGCCCAGCCCAGGGCCTGACCAGCTCCAGGCAGCAGGGCCTGTTTTGCAGAGGAGCTCATCAGGGTCAAGCTGTCACCTAGTAAAGATGTTTTTGGTTTTAATCTGCTTTAAAAAAAGAAAACCCCTAGGAAACTACAGCTAAAAATAACATCAGCAATGTGCTCTGGCAGTTGCAGGGTGCTCCAGGGGGATGAGTCCAAACTTCAGCTGCTCAGGTCTCATCCAGGGGGATGAGTCCAAAGCTCAGCTCAACCTTCAGCTGTATGTGGCACATCTGTAACACAGAGATGCAGGGAGGAAAGCAGACCTGGGAGATAAAATAATAAAACTGCCTGTGGGACCTGAGCATGGGTTGTCATGGAAGCTGGAAGGTGAAAACTGAGATTTGGGAACAAGGAAGGTCTTATGGTGCACATGGGTGTCTCCACAACCTGGCACAGCAGGGCTGGGCTCCAAAACAAAGCTTTGTCAACTGTTTTTTCACTCTGTTCCCCCTTGTTTAGCCCTAAATGTGTAGCATAGGGATGGCATGTGAGCTGCTGACCCAGCTCTTCCACAGTTGGTGGAAAGGCATCAAGAGCTACAGGTGGCAGAACTCTGGAAAACCTAACTGCCCAGAGGGTAAAAGCAGTGTCCCCCCAGAGGTGGTGATGCCTGGAGCCCCACGGCAGCTCCCCAGCACCAACTCTGCCCACCCCGAGCCTCCTACAGCAGCCACTTCCCTCCCCCTGCCGCTCTGGGACAGTCAGAAGTGTGAAGGGACCCAGAGTTTCTAACAAGGTTTGTAGTGTCTGCCATGGAGATATTTTTGTTCAGTTAATGGGGAGGGGGATATTGGATGAAACTGTGTATGCAAACACTGTTGGTTTTTCTAGGAAGTGTAGCTGGGAAAAGTTTGGTGTGCACAGTCAAAAAAAAAGAAGTTGCAACTCCCTGTTCAGCCTGGTGTGCCATGAGAGGATCCTCCTCTATGCTCACCTTCCCATTTGCCAAGTAAAGAAGCAAAGAAGCTTTTGTTCAAACACACATGGAAACACAGGGATTTCCCAGGAGATATCCACACCAGGAGCCCTCCCTGCCCTCTTCCCTGGAGCTCCAAGCAGGAGCCCACGTGCTGGGGAAGAGCAGGGATGTGGGGCTGAGGACCTGCAGTGCTTCTCCCAGCCACACGAGCTGGTCCTGCCCCACACCACAGGGAAAGGATGCTTGGTGTGCCTGTTCTCCTGGAGCACGAGTGCCTGAGGGGTGACACTCCTGCTGCCAGCCACCCCCTAGCTCTCTCCTTGTTTTTAAACATCTGGCAGGGAGGGGATGGAGCCAGGTGGGAATTTAGTTTATTTTAGCAGTTGGCAGAAAGGGGAAGGGAGGCAGCTG